TAGGGGAGCACATGCTTTTTCATGTTTTTTTTTTATACATTTTGCCAAAACAAATTGAAATTATCTTGTATTGTCTATACCAGTCTGGAAAATGTATTCACCGGCATATATGCCATCTATAATGGTTGTTATCACATCCACACAAATTTAAATTTAAGGAAGGTCACATTCTTTCACATAACATGCCCTTCTTTAGTTCAAAATAAATGTGTCACTCTCATAATCAGTTATTATCCAATTAAGACAGCAACAAGACATACCCAATCAACATCCACTCACACAACTTTCACCCGGTTCAACTTTTCTAAAACTTCGTTTTTGATGCTAATAAAAAAGACAAAATATAATTAAAAAGTTTGATATAAAAGTCAACATATTTATTACTTTTCAATACACTAGCAAACAATAATAGTAGTAACAATGAAGGTATTATGGTGAATTCAACAGAGATGGTTCCTTGCGGCATGGGTCTGTGACACTCAGTGTGCTGATCCTATAAAAGCTCCACCCCCCCTCTTTGTCTCTCAGGCGCGTATCCAGGGGGGTCGAGCGGGCCTTGCCTCCCCCCCCCCCCCCCCGCAAAAAAAGAGAGAGAGGGAAGGAAAAGAAGGGAAAGGGAAAAAGGAGAGAAAGGGAAAGAAAGAAGAAAAGAAAAGGGGAAGAAGGAGACCGGGGGCGAAAGGGCATTGCGTCGCAGGCTGTTGCCTCCCCGCCCACCCCCCCCCCCTATAAAAAAAAATAAGAAAGAAGGAAGGAAAGGAAAAGAAAAAAGGAAAAGAGCAGATAAAGGGAAGGAAAAAAGAGGAAGAAGAAAAGAAAAGAAGGGGGATATCGGTTGCAATTTTCCCGCCACCAAGATCGGGATCGGGAGGGGGGCAAATGGCCCTTGCCATAGGAGAGAAAGGGAAAGAAAAAGACAGAGAAAGAAGAAAGGTAGGGGAGATCATTTACAATTTTTCCCGCAAACAAAGTGTAGATCGGGGGGGGGGGGGGCACTGGCGTACTGATAGGGGAGGGGGGGGACTTGGGGAAAATAACATTCAAACGTGGTTTATGTTTAATTCCATAACGGTGATTTACAAATTATGCTGAAATGACATAATTTCCGAGATTTTTCCTCACTTTTTAGTAAATTATACTTTTTCATGCGGTTTTTGGAAAATTTGCAGTCAGGCAAGAAATATGCTTTTTTGAGTTGCTTACATGTCCGGGCCCGCAAAACGGCGGGGATCGGAAGCCTCGAGCTCCCCCTCCTCCCCCCCCCCCCCCCCAACTTATTTTGAAAAAGTATATTAAAGAGAAAAAGGAAGAAAGAGAGCAAGAAAGAAAAAATAGTTAACTGCCAGTGTCACAAAATAATGAGGTATCAAAATATGCTCATCTGACCTTGATTAAATGCCTAAAACCCCTCAGCTTCCGGGGCTCTGTCCCTTGGACCCCGCCTAGGGCCCTAAGGCGGACCCCTGGATGCTAATCTGACGGTAATTTAATGCCTAAAACCCCTGAGCTTCTGGGGGCTCCGCCCGCTGGACCCCACGCCAATTACTGTCCTGCCATTGTCACAAAATAAAAAAAGTATAAAAGTATGTTCATCTGACCGTAATCAAATGCCTAAAACCCCTCGGTGGGGGCGGTTCCCCCAGAACGCCGGCCAAAAAACAAAAAAGAGAGGAGAAAAAAGGAAGAGGACGTGGGGAAAAAAAGGAGCAGATAAAGAACATTTTTGAAATTCAGACAAGTATTACGAATAGTCTTCTTTCTCTCATGATTTAATGAAACGTAAAAGCTTCAACGCTTCGCGCGGGAGGGGAGGGGAAACTGAATTCAGACAAGAATTAACAGTCGAGAACGGTACAATGATCGTCTTCTTTCTCTAATAATTTAATGAAATGTAAAAGCTTTCAAGCTTCACGCGTGAAGGGGGAACTGAATTCAGACGAGAATTAAGAGTCGAGAACGGTACAATGATCGTCTTTTTGCTCTAATAATTTAATGAAATATAAAAGCTTTCGCGCTTCGCACGGTAGGGGCGGCGGTGGGGAACTGAATTTAGACAAGGATTAAGAGACGAGAACGGTACAACGAATCGTCTCATTTCTCTAATAATTTTATGAAATGTCAAAGCTTCCGCGCTTCGCGCGGAGGGGGGGGGGGGGGGGACTGAGTACAGACAGGGATTAAGAGTCGAGAACGGTACAACGAATAGTCTTCTTTCTCTAAGATTTTAATGAAACGTCAAAGCTTCCGCTTTCGGAGGAGGGAGGGAAAAACTCGCCCTTCCCTGCACCCACCTCCCCCCTCTATTACGTCACTGCTGGTCACCATTACGTACCAATATTTGGCTCGCATAATTTCAAATTTGCCCCCCCCCCCCTGAAGCTTTGACATTTAATTAAATTAATAGAGAAAGAAGACGATCATTGTGCCGTTCTCGACTGTTAATTCTTGTCTGAATTCAGTTCCCCCCCCCCCCCTCCCGCGCGAAAGCTTTTACGTTTCAATCAATTATTAGAGAAAGAAGACGATCATTCCCGATCATTGTACCGGCCGTTCTCGACTCTTAATTCTTGTCTTAATTCAGTTCCCCCCCCCCCTCCCTCCCGCGCGAAGTGCGGAAGCTTTGAGGTTTCATGAAATTATTATAGAGAAACGATTCGTAATACTTGTCTGAATTTCAAAAATGTTCTTTGTCTGCTCCTTTTTTTTCCTACGTCATCGATCTTCCTTTTTTCTCCTCTCTTTTTTGTTTTTTGTTTTTTGGCCGGCATTCTGGGGGGATCGCCCTCTCCCCTTTTAGGCATTACATTACCGTCAGATGAGCATATTTTGATACCTCATTATTTTGTGACACTGGCAGTTAACTATTCTTTCTTTCTATTTCTCTTTAATATACTTTTTTCCAAAAAAAAAATCTGGGGTGGGGGGGGGGGGGGGGGGGAGCTCGAGGCTTCCGATCCCCGCCATTTCGCGGGCCCTGACATGTAGGCAACTCAAAAAAGCACATTTCTTGCCTGACTGCAAATTTTGGAATTTGCCATTTTCCAACAAACGCATAAAAAAGTATAATTTACTAACAAGTGAGGAAAAATCTCGGAAATTATGTCATTTCAGCATTATTTGTAAATCACCGTTATGGAAATAAAGAGAACCACGTTTGAATGTTATTGATACCAAGTACCCCCCCCCCTCCCCTATCAGTACGCCAGTGCCACCGCCCCCCCCCCCCGATCTACACTTTGTTTGCTGGAAAAATCGCAACTGATCTCCTCTACCTTTCTTCTTTCTCTTTTGTTTTCTTTCCCTTTGTCTCCTCTTCCCCTTCCCTTCCTTCTCTCTCTTTTAGGTTTGCTGGGGGTAGGGGAGGCAAGGGCCTTCCGGCCCTCACCCCGATCCACGCGTTGTTGGCGGGATTAACCGTTACTGATCTCCCCATCTTTTCATCCTTTTCTTTTCTTCTTCATCTTTTTTGTTCCCTTTTCGCTCTCCTTTTTCCTTTTTCCTTCCTTCTCTCTTTTTTTTAGCGGGGGCGGGGGAGGCAAGGGCCATTTCCCCCCCAACCCAACCCACAACTTGTTGGCGGGAAAATTGCAACTGATATCCCCCTTCTTTTCTTTTCTTCTTCCTCTATTTCTTTCCCTTTATCTGCTCTTTTCCTTTTTTCTTTCCCTTTCCTTCCTTCTCTCTTATTTTTTTATGGGGGGGGGGGGGCGGGGAGGCAACAGCCTGCGACGCAAGACCCTTTCGCCTCTGGTCTCCTTCTTCCCCCATTTCTTTCTTTCCCTTTTTCTCCTTTTTCCCTTTCCCTTCTCTTTCTCTTTTTTTGCGGGGGGGGGGGGGCAAGGCCTGCTCGACCCCCCCCCTTGGATCCGCGCCCGAGAGACAGAGAGGGGGGGGGGGGGGGGGGGGAGGGTGGAGCTTTTATAGGATCAGCACAGAGTGCCACAGACCCATGCAAGGAACCATTTCTGTTGAATTCACCATAATACCTTCATTGTTACGACTATTATTGTTTGCTAGTGTAAAGTTTATTGAAAAGTAATAAATATGTTGACTTTTATATCAAACTCTTTATTACGTTTTGTCTTTTTAATTAGCATCAATAACGAAGTTTATAGAAAAGTTAAACCGGGTGAAAGTTGTGTGAGTGAATGTTGATTGGGTATGTCTTGTTGCTGTCTTAATTGAATAATAACTGATTATGAAAGTGACACATTTATTTTGAACTAAAGAAGGGCATGTTATGTGAAAAAATGTGACTTTCCTTAAATTTAAATTTGTGTGGATGTGATAACAACCATTATAGATGGCATATATGCCGGTGAATACATTTTTCAGATGGTATAGACAATTAAAGATAATTTCAATTTGTGTTGGCAAAATGTAAAAAAAAACACACATTAAAAAGCATGTGCACCTCTACATTTTTTCAGCAAGACTTAACGAATACATAAACGTGTGTCTGTAAAATGGCAATTGATTTTTTATTTGTAATTTAACGACAGTTATGGAAGACTAGTTAACATTTACAAACTGAATTCCATACAAAAAAAGAAATGGATACTGTTTTGTATTTCAATAAATAAATGACTGATATGCAAGACTAGCTAAACACCTATATTTGACATTTTTTAAATATCTAAGTTAATTTTTTCATTGTGTTTCTTTTTATTTACTGATTTAATTCTTATAAATGCCTGATCTGCAAGACTACGCAAAAAGTAGTTTCAATTTGGATTATTTCAAATTATAAAACGACATTTCTATTCCTTAAACATTTTAAACGACTGATGTGAAAGACTAGTCGACGCACCCTTTCGAGAAAAGACCCCCCTCTTTTCTCGAAAGGGTGTGCTAAGACGGTCCTCCATTCCCAACGCACCCTTTCGAGAAAAGCGGGGGGCCTTTTATCGAATGGGTGCGTTGAACTCACCACACCGCGCCGCACCGCACCCTTTCGATGTAAGCCCTCATGAATCATGAACTGCATGGGAGTCACAAAGTCAGATAAAAATTCATGGTTTTATTTGGAATGAGAATATCACAAAGACAACCAGCTAGCATGCACTAATACTGGGATAAAAATACAAAATAAAAAGACAAATATTAAACATTGAGTAATAAACACCTGTTCGCAGCACAAAGACCTTAATGTAGTTCATTGTGTAGCATTCCTTTTATTTATCTATTGAAATCAAATGAAAATAAAGGCTTTTGTTATCACTGAGACCATTTCAAACATTTAGAAAAAGAAGCCTACAAATGTTAATCCCTTTTGACGAAAAAAAAAAAAAAGGATGAACAAAAATAGGAAAACTTAAGGATAATACATATATTCAGTACTACCGGTACTTATCTAATCTTGTAAACTACTACTTCCACTTACAAAAAAACAGGAAGATAAATTAAAAAAATAATCAATAAAATTGGTTCTAAATAACTCAACTTGTAAACTACGGCTTCCACTAAAATTATAGTAACATGACAATCTCCAAATTATAAAATTAAAATGCAGGTACATGAAAAGTACGCTTTTGAAATGATAATTCAACTTATTTCCCAGGATGTTTGCTTATCAAGTATATGCATGATTTGTTACGGCTTCTGCAGAACATTTTAAACAACCTTCTATTATATTCTTCCTTTTCTGCAATGTTTTCACTGAACCTCAAACTTGAAAAGGTCCCATATATATAAATGGGCATGACATCAACATGGAATAAATAAAAAAGTGATCATTTAAAAATATATATTACTTCAGTCTTCAATTATTTTTCTATATTGCCACTGTATTATAAATCTAGGAGAGGGCTTCTAAACAGTACTTAAAGGTAAAGACCAGTATTGGAAACGCCCCAATTTCAAAAAATGAAATGCAAGCTCTTATTACCAATCATGTGAAAGAATATGTTTTGAATATTACATGATGATAAAAATTTTGATGGGAAACCGCCTACTAATTGATATATTTGGTAAATTAGTGTATCTCTCGCCTGTTGAGAGATATGAAATGCACGTGTCGCGCACGTGTGTGTAGTCCCATATACATCTTTCTGTGTACAGTGCTTCTAACTTTATGAAGACTTGGCCAAATTTCTTATCATTTTGATGATTCCAGAACCTTGCAGTACATCTATGCTAGATGATCAACCTTTTCTGATCGATTTCACAACGTTTCTTTCGCAATGCAATCGCATGACCATAACTGGTCTTTAGCTTTAAGATAAGCTGTAGTAAGCTAGTATGTGTTAACCTATTGGTTTCTCACCATTGCTTTCTCAAGGGAATGCATAAATCCACAGAATCACATATTTTGATGGTTCATTATTGAAGAAAAAAAATATCTTCTAAATATCAATGTCTAAGCTTTTTTCCCTCTAAAATTACATCTGGTTCAAGACTTTTTAAGGGCATAAATCACCTACCATAGTGTAAGTCCAAGTCTTAAATGTAACTTAAGATTACAATGTAAATAACTTTTTTTTCTTCAACAATGAACGATCAAAAAAAGGTAAATTCTGTAGATTTGTGACGTCCCTTGAGAGAGCAACCAGTGGCATGAAGGGCCTGCCATAGTTCAAGTCCAACTTAAGTCAATCCAAGTTTATTACCCCATTCATAGACGAGCTCCAGCATATTTGGTACTCATTAATACATGGGTGGAGAGTCGAGCCCTACTTTAACCCTGGATCAAACACTATACCGAACTCTTACCTTTGAACTGACCTCAACCCTATTCCTACCCTTTAAAGGCCGTCAGTACTAGTTTGGCTAGGAGGGATCAGACCACCCAGGGTGGTCACTGATAGGTGGCTATCTCATCAACTCAGCTCTCAATTAACATAAGAAAAAGAGGATCATGGGGGACCAATGGTCACCGATTAGGCATTGTTTTCTATATAGAGGGAGCAAGGAGCTACAAGTAGTACAGTGGGGCTTTTAAGTAACAATTGATGATTAAAAAAGAACTGTTCATTTAAAGGACACTCTCTGGCTGCTATTTACGTTGAGGGCGCTATTTAACTCCTGGCTGTGCCTGACCGAAAAAGCCTCCAGACTGCTTGGCTGCAGCTCGAGAAGGTGCGAATCCAAGGAGCTTCTGAATATTCTGCACAATGACAATTTGGGAGAAAATTAAAGGGAATATATATGTACCTATAGTGAAAATGGCAAAAGTAGTAAATATCATTTGCCAATCATGAAATTAAAGAAAGAAAGGAGAGACATACAGTGTATATTCACACTTGTTACTAGATGTAATTGTCTATCAATTTCTGAGTATATGTATTATGTAATCACCTGAACTCATTTTCAATGTTGTTGGCTCATAAATATGCACCAGTAATTAAATTTTTTTTTTAAATTTCATTTCCTTCCAGACTTCTCTCTCTTAAATGGATTTAATGTATCAACTTTCAGAATAATTGGTTGTAGGAAGTTCTGGACATACATACTATTTACGTAGTTTCATCTTGTAAATAATTATCTACGTAATAATTGTTTCAACAATGATATAAGCCTCATGTGTTTCATTTTATGTAACCTAAAATATAATTAAAGGCATCTTTTAACAATGTTAAATCTGAGATGCACAGCCCTACGTGTTATCAGTGTCTGTGATATTGTGTAATATTGAAGCCCTAAAAAAATTGCGCTTCAAAATGATCAAAAAGTGCCTCATAAAAGTAAAAACCTATGAGTGACCGGATTTACCATACTTGTTTTCCCCAATAGACTGAGTGTTATGAAAACCGTTTGGCAAACGGTTTTCAAAATTTGTAATTCCAATTATAAATATCTTGATAATCAGAGAGGCGATCAGCCTGTAAAAGTCATGGGGTTCCTGACTAAGCTGAAGGTTTATAATCATCATTGCAGCATGAGCTAAATCCAGGATTTTGTTTCAGAATCGGAGACAAAGTTACCGGATCCCTTTAAGCCTTCAGGCTGCCATATTTTCAATTAACGATTCAATTCAATTTGAAAAACCTACCTGCCGGATAGACATGGTGCACAGTATATAGAGAAAGATGAAAGAGGAATCTGTAAAGTCATTTCCAAGAAGATTACGATGCGAGATACCATGTAACCAGGAGATAGGTGTGAACGGGAGTTTGGCAACGACACGACCATCAAATCTGTAAAATATCAATATTATTTTCCGAAAAGATATCAATAACTTTTTCAAAATTATAGAGAAGTCTGAGTTCTGGGAAGAGGTAAAATATAGTTTGTGAGCGTCATCATTGTTATTATGCAAGGGTGGAAGAACATCAGATTAAACATGTTCCCTGAAAAGCATGGCTCTTCAAATGCCTTCATATTCTAAATATGACATAAAACATTGTTAAAATCCAGGGACTGATTTTTTTGCCACGTGTTCGTGTAGTCCCATATACCGGTACTTCATTCTGTGTACAGTGCTTGTAACTTTGCAAAGATTTGGCCAAATTTCTTATCATTTTGATGATTCCAGAACCTTGCAATACACACAAATACTTATATACTAGATGATCAACCTTTTCTGATAGATTCCACGCCGTTTCTTTCACAATGCAATCACATGACCAGAACTCAACTTTATCTTTAATATCAATACTATTTTCAAAATCTAACGTGTAGACGTGGTCTAGTGGATACCTTATTGGACTGTGAATCACAGGGTTTGCGGTTCAAGTACCACAATAGTACTGTTAGATTTTAAATCTTTGTAAGATATATAATATATATATATATATATATATATATATATATATATACTGACATTTTGGGGAATTAAATATATTTTGTTTGACAAACTTTCCTTGCTGGATAACATCCTTCATAATTATACACATGCATTTAGATTAATATCCTATCATATTTTACAATCCTTTTATTGCAAAATTGTACATTTGTTACGTTTTAACTTTGAAAATTTTCTCAACTCATGCTTATAGGACGGTTAATGAATGCAACTTCCTTGTATCAAAACATACAAATTGAAATGTGCAAATAACAAATGTATCCTGCATTGATGAGAATACATGTTGTTAAATTTTATGTTTTTCATCCTCAATGCCGTCAAAAAGAAAAGATGATCAGATATTTGTGATTTCAAGAAGTGAAATTGACATCATGAAAACTTGAATGCTTACATTGAGTTGAACATGCTCATTAGCGAAGTGAACGTGAATGCAATAACAATCATAGATTTCATCTTGACCATGGAAAGATCCCGGCTGTTTGTCTTCAACTTTTCTTCCTGACGCTCTGCAGTATAAAAAGAAGAATGAGAAATGTTGAGTACCGGTACAACTTCCAATAGGGACTTTTAGATTTGCACAAAGACAATGGGGATTGCTACGATCAACGTCCTTTTAATGCACTGCCTTGAATGGACGTCACACGTATCAGTCCACGCATATCTAAAAGTCCCTATTAACACACTACAGTCAAACGTGCCTTAGTGAACACCTCTCTATAAAGACCACCTGTCTATTTAAAAGTGGCCATGTATTTTATGTTCCCTGAAAAAGAAATAAGCGTTTTAGAACCTTTCTAGAAGGGTCATCTGCCTACAGTGGCCACATTTTCTGTTCCAGTGGTGACCTTAATAGGCAGGTTTGAGTGTCAAACATTCATAACTTTCTTATTATTGGTCCGATTTAGTTTCGAACTTTCGCTGTTTCTCTCATTTTTCTACTTTTATACAAATGAAGGGTTGGATTTTCCTTTAAAGAGAGGATCAAGTTCTGGGAGAGGTGAAAAATAATTTGTGAGCGTTCTCATTGTTATTATAATGCAAGTGTGGAAGAACATCAGAGAAAAAATGTTCCCTGAAAGGCATGGCTCTTCAAATGCCTTCATATTCTAAATCATGTAACAGCTTAAAAATAGGACCACATTTTTATGCCACATGTTTGTGTAGTCCCATAAAAATCTTTCTGTGTACAGTGCTTGTTACTTTTACCAAGACTGGACCCAATTTCTTATCATTTTGATGATTCCAGAACCTTGTTGTAAACACATACCAATACTTATATGCTACATGATCAACTTTTTTGATAGATATTACACTGTTTCTTTCAAACTGCAATTGCCTGACCAGAACTCAACTTTATCTTTAAAATTGCAGTCTATAATTGCAGTTCATGTCCCATCTAAACTTTTACACCAGGGGAGCATTTCACAAAACTTGTCATCAGTGACAAATTACATTTTTTTGTTATAAGCTACTGTAATCCTTGCTTCTGATATCAGCAGATTTGTCACTGATTTTTGTCATTCGTCATTGAAAAAAGGCTTTGTGAAATGGGCCCCAGTAAGTCATCAATACCTACCAAGCTTTTTCTTCTGGTTCTTGTCCGATGAATCACCAAGCGCTTCTTTCGTCCTTTCCACTAAAACAATCAAACAAAGAACGATATTACAAAAACAACTGTAAGAGATCAAATATCATTATTTCTTATAATACTAATTTACATGTACTTTGGTAATGAAAAATGAAAAAGAAAGAAATTCCTATTCTGACTGGCTCTGTATTTGAAACTTAATAATCAATCTTAATATGATTTGCTTGTTTTTATATTTAACCAAAAGACATGCACATGTGGTATACTTCAACACTAATCTAGATTAACAAGAATATTGAGATTTGAAAATCTCATTCTTTGTGTATATACAAAATATCAAGCATGAATCACAATGACAACTTTTGCCCATTTTTTGTTTCCAATTGTGGAAAGTAAATAAATGTGTTGTAACTTTGTAGATGATATATCCTTTAATAATAATAATAATAAAATAGTAATAATCTTTTAAAGTCCACTCCAAATTTTATTAAGTTAAACCGAAAATGGAAATTCTTTTTGCCCAATTGATCGTGAGCCCTGCAGCCACTGAGCAGCGCCAGATCGACGTTGCTCTATCCCTTATTTTGTTGAACGCCAAACAAGGTAGCAGCAACTCCCGTCTTTTAACGTCTTTTGGTATGACGCGGCCGGGGTTCGAACAAATATTTGTTATTACTTTACATATATGTTGACTGAGGTTTCACATGTACAAAATGTGAAAGTCTAGCCACATTTCTAACATACCAGCTCAACTTTTAAGCCCAGTCCCATCCTGCCAAAGTAGACAAATCATTTCTAAATCAAGAACTTGGAGCCAAGAAAGGGCTAATAAATTCAGGTATTTATCATTTGTCTGCCAAATTAATAATTATGATAAAGAATGAGCCGGTTTTCACAAAATTTAACCCGAGTTTTGCAAGGATTTTCACTGCAGTCCCACATGCACATTTTGATGTCAGTAATACTAATATTTTCAAAGTTGTAAATTCTGTCTTTCTGAACCAAGAAATGACTATACAGGTATTTGTTTGACAATTAAATGAAAATTTGATGGGAGTGCATCTTTACTAAAGGGAGATTTCACAAGCATAAACAAATGTAAAATCTTAGCAACATTTTCTAAACAATCTGGACGAGATTTAGGACAAGATTTTGTTTCATTCATTTATAATTTATTTTATGTTATTTTATTTTTCTATATTTTTGGGGTTATATGTTGATGAATTGTTGCAAGGCAATCAGACCCTGGTTTATATTTTTTTAAACAACGCAATAACTCGGCCCTAATGTTTACTTACATTTCTTGCTTTGTTTTTCTACCTCAGCTTTCAGCTTCTTGTATGTCTCAGTCCTGTATACCAAGATGTATGTGATTCCTGAAATCGGTAAAAGAAATAAAATATAATGAATCAAGAGTAGAACTACAAAATTAGGCCCACTAGACAAACAATAAAGCTTAAAATTCATTATCATTATCATCATCATCATAAATCCATCATTTGCAATCATACTCAACATGTGTACATGTAATTACCCCTAATGACCGTCTACATTACTAATTCACCCCTACTTTTTTTTCCATAACAGTTTATATTATAATCCACACACAAAACCAATAGGCTCCTATGGAGCTCCTGTGCTGACCGCAGAAAGGAAACAAATTGCCTTAATGATGTTGTTTCTTCAGTTCTTTTGTCAGCCAAGTCTCCAAATGGGAGACAGTCTCCCAATTCAGTCATGTGCCTTTTTTTTAAATGTGCACAATATAGTTCCCTCTAGGCTCTAGCTCATTTTTTATCAGGATAATGTTCAGATGCCTGCACAGCACCTGCCAGTACGAGAATACACCAGACGGCGGCCTGGACTCATAGCGAAGAAGAAGAAGAAGTAGGAGGAGAAGGAGGTGAAGTAGGAGGAGAAGGAGGTGAAGTAGGATGAGAAGGAGGTGAAGTAGGAGGAGAAGGAAGTGAAGTAGGAGGGGGAGGAGAAAGAGGAGGAGGAGAAAGAGGAGGAGGAGGAAGAGGAAGAGGAAGAGGAAGAAGAAGGAGAAAGAGGAGGAAGAGGAAGAGGAGGAAGAGGAAGAGGAAGAGGAAGAGGAAGAGGAAGAAGAAGAGGAAGAGGAGGAAGAGGAGGAAGAGGAAGAGGAAGAGGAAGAAGGAGGAAGAGGAAGAGGAAGAAGAAGGAAAAGAAGAAGCAGAAGAAAAAGGAAAAGAAGAAGATGAAGAAATAGAAAAAGATGAGGAAGAAGAAGATGAAGAAGGAGGAAAAGGAGGAGGAGAAGAAGGAGGAGGAGAAGAAGAAGGAGGAGGAGATGAAGATGAAGGAGGAAGAGAAGAAGAAGAAAAAGAAGAAAAAGAGGAAGAAGAACTGAATTGTCAAAGACATCATTATAGCCATTAACCATTATCGTCATCAGTTAATTGCAATTACCAAGTACCTGTAATTGGATTTTTTGAGCCATCACTATTCAATGTCTATTGCCATCGATAATATAATGTAGATACGTGATAATCCGCTTGTCCACAGTGCACTGATTTTGCATCGCGCTCTTAATTCACGATCGATTTTGAGTGCACAGACAGGGCTCTGTTTAAATTGCTATAGCACTTACATCATGAATACAACAATCGATCGAGACGTGGGGAACTTCGAATTTGTCTTGTTCTTGAATATTTGTGTGCGACGATCAGAACCGGAGCCACAAGCAAACAAAGATTGACTACATATTCAATGCGTCAGATTTCAGCGAAGGAATGGGAGCCAAGCTTCAAATATTATATGTTTCGATAGAATATTTATTAATGTACTTGCATATGAAATTTTTAAGTGATTTGATTTCCGAAACTTACACAATGTGTGCCAAGAAATTAAGCTTGTTCAAAACATGCATAGAAGTCATGCTTATATGTTTGCGAGTTCTAAAATTCACGCTTGGCGATCTTCGCACAAAATCCATGAAAATTGATGCAGTCTAGAGTCTACGACTGGTCCTCCATCCTACAGCAGCGTAGCCAAGCTGATATAATCTTCTTGGACTTCAAGAAGGCATTTGATCGAGTACCACACCTTCTCCTGTCAACCAAACTTCAGTACTATGGAATAAGTGGTGACTCACTCCAGTGGATAATGTCTCTCCTCACTGATAGACAGCAGGCAGTCGTAGTTGATGGATCCAAATCAACATGGAGGGATGTAACATCTGGAGTCCCCCAGGGATCCGTCATCGGCCCTACCCTCTTCCTGTTGTATATCAACGATATCCAAGACAACATCCAGTCCACAATGCGTCTCTTCGCAGATGACAGCACCCTCTATCGTGAGATTCGATGCCCTGAGGACCATCAAATCCTAAAGGACGATCTCCAACAGCTGTCCAGGTGGTCTTCAAACTGGATGATGGACTTCAACGTGAAAAAGTGCGCTATCCTCACCATCACACGGAAGCGTACTCCCAGCATCCGAGAATACCACCTGTCAAATGGACTGATTCCGAGAGTGAAAGAGTACAAGTACCTTGGACTCGAGTAACGGTTGCTGCTGATCTCCGTTGGAACAAGCACTGCCAAACCATCCGGCATAAAGCAAGCCGTACTCTAGGTCTTCTTCGCAGGACTCTCTCACCCTGTACCAGGGATGTAAAGTCCAGGGCCTACACAGCCTTAGTGCGCCCCCAATTGGAGTATGCCTCGGAGGCTTGGAACCCACACAGCGTCACGGTCACAAAAATGCTAGAGCAAGTACAAAGAACAGCGGCTCGCTTTGTGTACCGTGACTACAGATACACCACATCACCATCAGCTCTTGTGGCAGCTCTAGGGTGGGACACGCTTCACACACGTCGAATCCTCGACCAATGCACCCTTCTCTACAAGATCCATCACCGACTTGTCTCCATACCTGCACCAACTATTGTTATCCCCGCTACATACTTCGGAAGTAAAGTAAAATCTACTCACCAGAGTCGTCACTATATGTCAGAATCCGTCGATGCTGTCCTTTGCTGGTTGCTGTGATGATCTCCGTTGCTTGTAGTGCACTCCGATGCGTAGTCTATACTTCTGTTATCTCGTTACTGGTAATTCTGCCCCGACGGTGTGCGGATAACCTGCTTATATAGGACGCACGCATGTACGTGCTAATCAAGTATGGAACGCCATCCAACGCACGCACATGCGTGCGGTCCATATTAATAATTCCCCATATTCCTCCCAACTAAATAGATTAAATTATACTCTATATTTATCATGTTCCAAATTAAAGGCACTAAAAAATCCCATAACTTTCACAAACAGATCGCCTGTCTGCATTTGACTATCCAGACATCTATGACTGGAAAACGAAATTCCACTTTTCATTTTTCTAACTAATTTTATAACATTACCATCTGTTAGGAAAAAGGAATATAGATCATAGATCCTGATAGCACTTAGGACCGTGCATCTCAGATCCATGAATTGAACAATACTATACTTGTATTATACCTTGTCATTATTTATATGTATAATGTCTAATGTATCCATTTTACTCAATACTACTTGTATTATGTATTCATGTAAAGTGTATTGATATAGTAATCAATAATAAAGCAATAATAGCTAGTTCTTATATAGCTCTCTTCAGTACTGACTGACTTGCTTATTTTAACATAACTAACTTAATATATTAATATAATATTGCTTATTTACTCAATTACTTAACTTATTTACTTAACTAACTTATATTATTCATTTATATCCCGAATCATTTATCCGCAGATATCCCAATCCCAAAACTAGAGAGGATCCGAGAGACTCGGAGCTAATCCCCCTAGTGGGAAAGGTAAAACTGCGGAAAAAAGGGAAATAAATGAGCTTATTTAGCCAAATATGCCATACAGCGCTTGCCCATTCCTTACTGTCTGTCTCATCAGGTCGGCTAGGGGCAGCCCCCGCAGATCTGCGACTATCGCCCCCACATCACCCAGGAAGTCTGGTGAATTATCACCCATTCCTGGATGAGGGGGGAGATGGGGAGAATCGGTCTCCAAGACCACGCGATCTGCGGCCACCGCCCGCAACCCCCTGACCTGTGATGCATTGAAATGCCGGGCCAACCCCGTAAAACCAAAATAACAATGGGGGAAGGCTATGGCCCAGGCTTTCACCTGTACTTCATCAGAGTTATAACAGTGTAAATGGATCCTCTGAAGTGGGGAGCATTGTCTGGTGAGTAGCCTCCGGCTCAACTTGTGCACCGCATAGCTTGTGTCTGCGTGTGCCCCCCCTCGTAAGTGCAAGATGAGGACCCTCCCCTGGGTGCCCTGACCTAGAAGGCGAAGGAACAGCGCCTCCTGGTCAGGCCACCGTTGGGAAGGGACAGAGAAGTCGAAACCGACTTCACTCATCCCAACTACGAGGGGGTTCTGCAACAGGGCGACAAATGTACCCCAATCTTCTTCCGTGTATGTTGTTGCATGCTTGGGATGAATCCCAAGGGCTAGCTTCCAGCCACTACCCCCAACCGGTGACTGTAAGGCTAGCACCCGACTAAGGAAGTTGGGTTCCCTGTAAGTAGTGGGGTCACAAAAGTTCATAACCCCCCCAACCAACCCTATCGGGTGCTCAGGCAAGATGTTAGACTGCCGACGCCTGCCCCCATACCATCCACACCTATCCGGGTGAAAATGGGAATCGAACCCGGACAGTGGGATGGCATTCGGAGGGCTGGAAGCCATGATCCGGCTCATATATTGGAGCATGCCTCTCCCTCTACCCCCCAGCATGGGTGGGTTCTCTCGAGCCTCAAACCCTGCCCTCGTCCCGGGAGGAGGTGGGCTCCTCAAAGGAGGAGCACCAAGCCTCCTACCCATACCCACTGGAGGTGGAGGTGGGTTCCTCCCCCTACCAAGCCCCCTACCAAGTCCTCTATCAACAAACCCTCTCCCCCTTCCTACTGTAGTGGGTGGGCAATTGACAAAAGCCCCACGCCCCCTACCAAACCCCCTCTTGGGACGAGTATGTATACCCGAAGCTCCGGCTGGGGCAAGGGGAACTCCTCCAGTGGCCGAAGCCGACTGAGGCGAATCCCTCGTCCCAGCACGGAGCTTGCCCTTCAACCGTCGGAGTTTACGGAGCCAAGTTCTCTTACGGGCTGACCCTGAGGGTGGGATTGGCCCCATCCTTGCTCTTAACGGGTCGTCTCCCCCCTCGATTACCGGGTCTCCCCCCCCAACTTCCTCCGGAACTTCCTCCAATGCCTCGCCGGCATGTACTTCCATCGCGTCGTCAGGATCCATAACTGCAAAGGAGAAAGGAAATGGGTTACCTACACTTGCAGAAAGGACAAAAATACTTATCCATACTCATTCCCTCTGCCGGGGTAACACCAACACACTCAC